ACAGTGCCTGCGGTGGTGGCTGGCTAGGAACAGATATGTTTGACTCTGAGTGGCCAGGCCATCTCCAAAGACAATGCTTCATTTCAGTGCACATCATTTCTACCTAGCTGCCAAATTGATTGTGTGGGAACGGCACTGGGCAGACGCCACTGACCAAGCCACGTGCCAGACACCGCCCTAAACACATAACCCACTCCTGGGAAATCAGTATTGCTGTTATATATCTCCATTTTGCAGATGAGGAAGCTGAGGCTCCAAGTTACTAAGTAACAGACCTCAGATCACACAGCCATGAAACCAGGATCAAAATGCAGGTTCGCTCATACCAGAGGTCAGGCCACTTCCCCTGGACCGATGATTGCTGATCTTTTTGACCTCGTGATCCTTTCCCATGGCAAATGTTTCCACAGCCCTGAGCACAGCAGCAGTCAAACTCTCAGTGTCTCCTGGTTAAGAAAATATGTAATGGCCGAAAGCTCCCTTTTTCCAGCAATGCTATGAGTCACAATAGCATCTGCATACAGTCTTAAAACCGTGACGCCTGATATGGGAGGCATTAAATTGGCCAAACCGGTTGGTGCTTGTGCTGTTTTTAGGCCCTCAAAGTTGCTCTGGATCTTTGCCCCCAGAGATTGGGCACCCCTGAGCTGCACATGAATCAGCTGCAGGGTCTGGAGACGCTGCGTCCTATTATGTGGGCTAGGCCCAGGGGATTCTACAGATACAGCCGATGCCAGGCATTTCACAGGAGGGCCACCATCAGCCTTCGGATCACGTTGTCTGAGGCCGAGGGAGGAGACGGAGGCAGGGTTAGCTTTGGAAGGACCACGCATTGTTCTTTCCCGATTCAGTCCTTACAGGGGCCTCCGTCCCCCAGAGCAGAGCTCTGGAAATAAGCAATTGAGTTGCTGGGAACAGTGGTTAAATATGCTTCCATTTGCCACTCTTTGCTTTTTATCCAGTCTTCAGAGGTCCCCAACTATAGCTGCTGGGAAGAAGTTGTACCAGGAGGAAAAAAAGAAAAGAAAACCTCTTTGCATTTACTCTCAACATGAAGGGTTCCCCCTGCTGAGCCTCACTGCTTGTTTTCATTCATTCCACAAATATTTACTGAGCACAGCATCTGTGCCAGGCACTATTCTAGGCACCAGGGATTCACTAGAAAGCAGAAAAAAGAACAGTCTCAGCACTTGAAGAGCTCATATGCTAGTAAGCGACAAACTATAAGTGAAATTTTTAAAGTAAAATAAGTAGTAAGTCAGATGGCCTTAAGGGCTATGGAGAAAAAGAAATCGAGAAGGAAATGGGACACCTTGTAGGAGTGCGAGGTTACATTGCCTACCCTTGGAGGATGGCAGGTAAGCAAAGTGGGGAGGGAGGGAGGGAGACAGATGCTGGAGGGAAGAGCATTCAGGCAGAAGGAACAGCAATGGCAGAGGCCTGGCATGTGCTGGAACAGCAAAGGCAGTGTGGCTGGAGCAGAGTGAGTGAGGGTGAAGAGTAGGGAAAGTTACAAAGCATTTGAGGGCTGTCAAAATGACCTGGACATTTACTCCAGGAGAGATGGGTCCCAAGGAAGGGTTTTGAGCACAGGAAAGAAATGATCTGACTTTCCTGCAGTGTAATTTACATGGCACCAAATCCCCCCATTCTAAGTATATAATTCAAAGACTTTCAGTGAACATACAGACTGTGCAACCATCACCACCACCCAGCTTAAGAACGTTTCTTTCACCCCCAAATATACCTCCTGCCTGTGACTTGCACTTGAAAGATATCACTTTGGCTCCTGTGTTACGAGTAAAAATAAGAGGTAGAAGCAAAGAAAGTTTGGGGAAGAAATGTCCACCAATGTGAGTGACATAAAGGACTAAACGTGGAGGGGTGCAGACAAGACCGATTTGGTTTTGTTTTGGCTGCTAGAGGTTTGGAGCCTCCTTAATGCCTCGGTTATAACAGGGTGAAGGGCCTCCAGCCTTAATGGCTGAAGTAGGATATTAATAACATACAGGAACTATTTTAAAAATGAGAAATCCAAGCCCAAAATATACCCATCTGTGATTCCTGAAGTTGGACGCAAACTGAATGTACATCGGATCCCTGCTCTGTTTTACATTAAAAAGTCTGACCAGTTATAAAGCTACAGAACTGTCTTAATGCCTTAAAAATTCACAAGAAGAAAAGTTGATGGTAGCAGCAGGAATAAATCCAAACATGTTTCAGCAGACATTTATTGTCCCTGCAACAAAAAGGCACAGGTGTCCTCATATTAGTCATTATTAAAATGTTGCATCCCAGTCGTTTTTGTTGGTCGTGAAAAGTGGGGGCATTCAGCCCTGGACTCTCATCATGATGTGAGGGGTCATCTGTGCCTGTGGAAATGGCCTGCTTGGCACTAACATGGTAACTGAGTAAGGATTTTCTGTATTTTACCTGGAAGGCTGAAATCTTCTAGAATTGGAAGGTTTGGAGCCAAACAGTGAAATTCGACATTTTTCCCTTTTCAGCATCTGCTACTGCAGCCAGGGTCTTCTTTTTCCTAACCCAGGGGTCCCCTCCTGGACCATTTCTTTGCACCACATGGACAGGTGGTGATTGCCTCCCATACAGGAATCTATCTTGGGTGGGTCTAGAGTGATTCTTGCCAGCTTCCCTTAGCCAACACCTGTGCCTTGCCCAGAGTCTGCCACATGGCTTAGGGCCAGCTTTGCAAACTGGCAAAGAGCAAAAACTCTAAAACACAAGAGCATGTCTGAGTGTGGCAATAGTCTGAGGACAAAGGTCTAGCAAGGCAGTTGCAGCCAGTCGTCAGAGATAGGTAAATGTGTTTCCAGTTTTCTGCCCACCGCACGACTTGATTTGGCCGTTCTCTGCACTGTTATGAGATCTGACTAGTAGTCTCAGCTCAAGGTCACAGGCAACTACCTACTTTTTCTTCTCATTAACAGCTGTCACGTTTCGTAGCCACTTCCAAGATCCTAGCAGTTGTTGGGGGCAATCCGATCAGAAGTGTTGCATTACCACTTCTGGCCACAAGGGGTCCCAGGCCTCTAGGCATCAGCACCGCGGCCTGGAAGTCCGTCCCTGCTCTTGAGTGAAGGAATATTCCACAGGGCAGAGCGGGTTCCTTGAGTGGCAGGCCCCGGGAGAGGGCTGCTGAGCTCAGCCATTGGCTGTGGGTCAACTGTTTGGCCCTGTGGGAGCAGTGCCAATCCACGTGCAATCACTGTGCTTCCTGCTGTTAACTGCAAACAGCTGAGGGCATGGCCCCAGGCACCTGGTACTCCCTGCAGTCTGGGTTTATTTATTCTCACTACCTGTGTGGTGGTGCCCACCCCATCCCTCAGAGGCTCAGGTTCCTCATCTGCCAAGGGAAGGGTTTAGAATAGAATCTCGCTCTCTACAGTCTTGCCATCGACATGAAGTACCCTTACGTCAAGGGTCTCCGAGGCATCCTTGCCACTCAGCACAAACTACCAGCTTACTGAAGTTTTAAATCCTTCTGCCAGGTTATCATCTCCCCAGAAGCAGAAGTTGTGAAATCAGAATTCTGTGCCATGGAATCTTTTAACATCAGAACCACAGGAGCGCTTAGAGCTTCTGATACTGCAGGGGTCCTCAAACTTCTGTTACCCTGGAACCCCTTACCCGGACAACCTCTGACATGGAAGCCCAGAAGGAAAACAGAAGCACTCTGGTTAGAAACTGAAGGCCGGAGAAAGGAAGCCGCCTGTCCTGTGCCACTCAACAAGAGAATGGCATAGCTGGGTGGCAGTGCTGTCCCTCCTGGACTCATTCCCCAGGAACGTCACGGAGCATGCAGCCTCCGGAGGTGTGCAGAAATGCAGAATCCTAAGAAAGAGCTGCCTGTGGGGAGGCAGGGGCACAGCACTAACCCATTCACCATGCTGGCTTTTCACCCCACTGTGACTTCATCCTCATAAAGACCCTCAAGGCCAATATCATCATCTACTTGCAGGCTCAAGTCCCATAGCTCAGAAGTCACTAAGCTGGGATTTGAACCCAGGGCTGTGCAACTACAAAGTACATACACTGGCTTTCCTAAGTGATGGCAGTTTACTCATTCATTCATTCATATCTTTACTGAGCACCAAGTATATGTCAGGCACTGTCCCAGACCCTGCCGTACAGCTGCAAATAGGGCAGCTAGCACACATGCCCTCATCAGCCCTGGATGTGAGAGGAGGCAGACATAAGCAATATGTGACAAGAAAAACACAACCAAGTAAGGGAACAGGGAGGGACAGGGGTGGGGGGCATGTGTGCACCTCTCATTGGACAAGAGCGGTGCTTCCTAAAATGTGGTCTGCACCCCAGCTATGAACTGTTGGTTTCTAGTCTGCAACAAATGTGTCTTCCCTGTTACTGTATTCAGAGGACAAATAGTCCGTGGGCCAGCCCTGGCCTGTGAACCACACTCTGAATAACCCTGGCCTGAAATATTTCTGAACCATCAAGTCAGTACAGCTGGAAAGTATACTCCGTCTCCCCAGACCCATTCACCTCCATCTCCTCTTCACGCCCACCTCCCTCCCCAGGGAGCTGCTGCTAAGGAAGGCTGCTGTCTCCCACCTGGCATGCATGATGATCCAGCGCCTTTCAGTCCCTTCTAAGGGAAGACATCCCATCTGTGTCCAGGGCTGGTCGTGTGTTCCGTGGATGGTGACAGTAGACTTGGCTCCCAACTCAGGCTATGTCACTTACTATCCATGTAATCTTGAAAATGTCTTTGGTTTTCCTTAACTCTAAAGTGAGGACAGTCGTGCTTTGCAGGAACAGATGGAGTCACAAGGAGCTTGACCCAGGCCGTGGAATTCTGTATGTGGAAGAACCCACTGCACATGTGCATGTGGGGGGGGGAGCATGTGCGTTTGCACATGTGCATGCGACATCCACCTCCTTCGGCACTGTTGGACAGCTCCTCCTGGGACCCGCTGTGGCCAGAGACACTGACAGCCTTTTCTGGGCTCTCCCACCAGATTGCCAAGGGATCGTTGAGGATGTCGTCCTGCTGGGGGCCCCCGTGGAAGGAGAAGCCAAGCACTGGGAGCCTTTCCGGAAGGTGGTGTCTGGGAGGATCATCAATGGCTACTGCAGGTCTGTCCCAACCTTGCACCAGTGGGGAGGTGACAACACCTACTGAGCAGTGTGTGTGCCCAGGCCTTGTGATGGGGACACAGAGGCTTGCGGCCTGGCCCCTATCCCAGAGGATCCTGGGGACCAGAGGGCAGTGGCCTGTTAGGACCAAGGCCCCAGCCAGGTGTTCTGACGTGGAAGGCCTCTATGCCCATGGGATGAGGATTCTGGAAAGGGTCTCCCAGTGTTGGGCCTGAGGCCAGCCTGCAGGATGACTGGAGAGGCTGGCTGGTCACCATGATCTGGGGGGAAAGGGATGTGGGACATAGGCTAAAAAACAAAGATTGGGGCCCTGATGGGAGGTCTTTGCCTTCCCACTGAGGCGCTCATATAAATGTTGTTTCAGTGCAGGGAGGGTGTAAGAGACCATCCAGCCCAAGTGCTCCAAGCACTAGTTCAGGACAGGTCAGGGCGACAGAACAGGGCCGACCGCAGCCCCCACACCACAAGCAGGCACTCCCGCCAAAGGTGGGGGCCTGCAGCGGCTGATGGCTGTGGGGCTGGAAGGGAGGCAACCCTTGTTTGGGGTTTGAGAAGGACTTGAGGGGTTTCAGCCAAGGCCATGCCCCCCTGGGGAGAAGAGCAGACGAAGCCCATCACTGAGGCCAGCCTGAGAGGCAGCCCGGCCTGCTGGCCTCCACATGAAGCAAAGGATGGGGTGACAGTGTTTAAGAGCACGTGGCTTAGATTGCACAGCCTGGGGGCTCTGGTCTCTCCTTCAGGAGAGGAGGGGTAGTGAGTGGTAGGTCCCCCAAAGGCCGTGATGACAGGTCAGTGATTTACGCGATTGCACATGGCACACACGCGCTCTGCAAGCAACAGATGGCCCGACTGCTGGTCATCATCATCAGTCACTTGGGATCTTCACTCAACAGACTGTTAGTGAGCACCGAGGCTGGGCCAGGGTTACAACAGGGAACAAGCTCCAGCCCCGCAGAGCCTAGCAGCTGGCAGGGAAAACAGAAAGACAGGTAATTCCAATGAGGCGAATGGAGCTTGTCTCTACCACCAAAATGCAGAAGCTCTGAACCAAAAGCCCCTCCCCAGATGTGGTGCAAACTCACATAGTGATAAGCTTGCTAATGAGAGAGATGTCTAGACTCTCCTTCTCCCACTGGGCTTACAGGGTTCGTGACTTGGGGGCACCATCCCAGACCCCACAGACCTGTGAGGTGATACACCGGTTGTAAGCAGATTACCTTCCTGAAATCCAAAACAGTTCTGAATTCTGAAACACAGCAGGCCCCCGAGGATGCAGGGCAAGGGACTGTGTTTTTGCCAGCATAGACACAAAAACGCAGGATGTTGATGAGAAGGTGACGCTCTAAGCCCAGATCCAAAGGACAAGTTTGGAGTTTAGGAAACAGATTGGGTGACTAGTAGTAGGGCTCCATGAACACAACTTAAAAAATAACAATGTAAAAAAATAAGCAGGTAGGACTTGAGGAAGCCACTGATTCACTGGGTTATAAACGTGCAGTTTCCAGCGGGCAGCTAGGAACTCAGAGAAATTAGAACTGGAGCTACGGCCCATGGGATCGTCAGCCTTAGCTGAAGTCAGAGGGACATGCAGATCATTTGAAAAGTAACGCATATAGAGAAAAGCACGGGATTCCCAAGTCTAAGGAATATATTCCATGTGGAAGGAGGGAGACGCTCCAGCAGGCAGTTAGGGGCAACTCAGAATCACCCAACATGCTGTGCCCAAGACCCTGAGAGAAGCTCACATCTAGTGCAAAGGACACATGTGGAAATAGACAATTTTTTTTTAAACTAAAAATTCAATAAGGAAGTGATTGATGGTGAGGAGGAAGGATATAACAAGTACGAGTCTCCTTCCTAACACATGCCAGACTCTTTGTTGTATCTCCTTTAGTCCTAGGATTAACCCCATTTTACAGGTGAGGAAACTGAAGCTCAGAGAAGTTAAGTCATGAAGCCAATTAACTTTAATTTTGATCTAAGCTCAACCATCCTAAGTAGGACCCAATGTAACATATTTGGAAGTATTTACAGTTGTGATGATTTAGCCCAAAGCAACAGCTGTGTAGTTTAGTCACACTCCCTCCTAGACAGGGGCTCTGGGAAGACGAAACAAGGTGATGTAGGAAAGGGCTGGCATTTAGAAGGTTCCCAATAAACAATAGTGGCTATAATTATTATTACTGGGCATAGTCACACAGCAAATGACTTTTTGGTACTTTTCATAAACAGCAAAGGGCCAGAGTTAAAATTGCATGTGTGCAATATGAAAGCAGCAAAATGTTATCAAACCATCTGTCCTGTTGAGAACCTGAGGCTAACAGGCTTGCTCTCCAATTATTTTGTGAGACCTTGAGCCATCTCTCTAGAGAAAGAAGGAGGGGGGTGGGGGGCGGAGAAGGAAGGAATGTACAGACCAAAACAATAACTGTAATTTCTTGGTTAAATTAAGCACCCACCAGGAACTCATAATCTTGGCCCCAAAGGCGTTTTAGTTGCCATGAATGTACTTGAGCCAGGTTGGCAGTGGGTGAGCTTGGGGCCAGCACTACCAAGCTGTATTCATTGATAAATTTGTCTTGTAGAATTACTAAAGCTTTCTGCAAACCTGTTCGCTTACTTGGGCTTTCACAAACCCCCAGAAAGCTAGCCAGGGCCAGTGGTGCTGCTCCCTATTGTACCGTGAGGAACCTGAAGCTCAGAGAGAGGCAGATGTCTGGCCAAGGTCACACAGCAGAGCTCCGCTGTGAACTCTAACTTAACAATGGGAGGGTTTCATTCTGAGCCCCCCTCAGGACTCAGGGTCTCTGCTCCAGGTATCAGGTGGGGAGAGGATGATGTTAGATGGAGCAGGGAGGACCGTGCCCAGGAGCAGCTGCAGACCTACATGTAGCCACAAGCCAGGTGGTAGTGAATCAAGGGTTGGGTATGATTCACGCAGCACGGCTGAGGACCCCGCCCCAGGGAGGTCCTGATTCAGCTGAGCTTGCAGGATACAGGATGAGGCACAGACCTGCCCTCAGGGCGCTCTCTGCCTAGAAAAGGAAAAAGACCCAGGGACAGACACATGGAGGGCATGGTGTGGTGAACATCACAAGAGGAGCATATGCCAGGCCCACACTCTCCGCTGCAGAGGCTCAGGGGCTCTCCCCAGGGAAGCTGACATCTCGCTGAGTTTTTAAAAGATGGACAGGAGCCCATCAGACATCAGAAAAGTAGACCGAGCAAGAGAGAATCCAGAGCAGGGTAATCATACCCAGTGCCTCCTGGGTGCACGTGTGTGTGAGCACTGAATCCATGCTGCGCCGTCTGTGTCCTGCCCGCCCCGGGAGGTGATATATAGTGAGGAGACTGAGGCTCAGAGGAGTCAAGCCACTTGCCCGAGGTCACACAGCTGGTAATTGATAAAGCAAGACTTGAACCTAGCGGTGTGGTTCCAAGCGTGAGCTCATGGCCCACCCCAGGCGAGAGAGGCAGATGCCAGCTGGAGAAGGGCTTTGAATGCCATGAATGCCCTGTGGTTTGCTCAGCGCAGCTTAGAGGGTACAGAGCTTTCTCACATATGTTCCTATTCTCTCTAAATGTGTGTAAATAAGTGCAATTAACATTTTAAGTAGAGTAATTCTGACAAATAATTGGGAAGGAATGATGCTGACTTTGCTCGCTTATACCTGTCTGTAGCAGAGCCATTTCTGAGCCCCCCTCATACCCAGGGTGCACTTAGCCTTAGGATTAGTCCAATAAAACAACCCGAGTTCTTCTCCATTCTTCTCCCCTTAGCCATTCATCCTCAGAGACAGCTTCTTGGGCCTCCCTGTTAAGGTAACCATTGGGACTTGCAAGCATTGCTCTCTGGAGACAGTTAAGGAATTTTCCAGAAGAGAAAGCCTGTAGGCAGTGGAGAGTCATAGTCGGCTCCTAAGAGAGAAAGGCCGTGGCCAGATGAGCGTTTTAGGGGGACCACAGTGGCTAAAGGAGTGCGGCCAGGGGCAGGGGGAGTGGGGAGGAGGCATCACACTCGTCCACGGGGGTGCGGGGTGCCGCTCTCAGGGCTGGGGCAGAAAGGACAGGTGTGTGAGGAGCTGGCGATGTTAGTAAGAATCAGCAGGACCCCAGTAACTTGGCCACAGAGAAGGAGGGGTGCCTAAGACATTGCACAACTGGTCTCTGCTTAAGGGGCTGGGCAGATGGTCATGGAAGAGTGAGGGCTGATGGGCTCAGTTTCAGTCTGCAGAGGGCCCCTCAACTCTGAGCCCAGTCTGACTAGGGGCTTCTGGGGTGGTAGCCACATAGGCGCGCGTGTGGTCAGCAATCGCAGAGGGTCAGAACGTGGAGTGAGCCTGGAGCACTGCACCCCGGCCCCAGACATCAGGTCACACAGGCAGGGCAGGGCCTCCTCACTCAGCCCGGTCTCCCCCATGCTGTGGGGAGGGTGGGCGCTTCTTTCAAACGAGCACACAGAAATAATGGACTCAAGTTGCCATGCAGAGCAGAGTGGGAATTGGTCTAAATAAAAGACGAGCAGATGTGCTCAGCTGGGTTTAAGTCCTGGATGCTGAGAGCAGACCAGAATTGTTCACAGGCATGGGCTTGCTGAGTGGCTGGCCCAGCTTAACCCCAGGACAGAGTTCAGGGGCCCGAGAGGGCCTCTCAGACCATATCCTCCATGGACAGTGCTCATGGCACCTGAAGAAAAAGGTAGCGGAGGGTCCAGAGTTATTTTCTCTCGATAGTTCAGGGGGTGACTTTGGCTTGGTGGGTAGAGGTGCTGGGAGTGGGGTTCACAGCGCCCACAAAAGAGGAGGAGTGTTTCCGGGGCTGTGACCTGCCTGGGGGCCACACTTGCCTCCTCTCAGTCGGCTGAGGGTAGGGAGCCCCCCTGGCTGGGCCAGATGCAGAAGGCAGAGCGGGCCCCTCAGCTCACAGACACATGGGGACCTAGACTCAGAGTGCCATCCCTCAGAGCATGGTAGCCCCCAGCTCCCATGGCCTGCCCACCCCTAGGAGGACACCTGACACCTGCTGCCTTTCCCTGCTCCCAGGGGCCCTGGACCAGCCACCCCAGGAGCTGGAAACCCCGCCCGAGCCCCATGCCAGCTTGTGCAAGAACTTCATGCTGCTCCCCATTCATTCATCCAACAAATAAATACTCATCCTCTGCCTTTCAGGCACTGTTCTCGGCTCCGGCCCACAGGGAGCAAAACAGGCAGGCTTCAGAGCTAGTGTGGCCCCGGCGGCACTCCCAGGTGTCAGCCGCCGCTCCCACCATCACACTCCCAGGGCCCGACGGAGCCCATCCTTGTCCTGGGCTCTGCGGACACTGACGTCCACCGCCTTCTCCACCCACAGGGGGGACTGGCTGCTGAGCTTCGTGTACCGCACATCGTCCGTGCAGCTCCACGTCGCAGGCCTACAGCCTGTGCTGCTGCAGGACAGGAGGATGGAGAATGTGGACCTGTCCTCTATTGTGAGTATCGCCTGTCCCTTCTAGGACTCTTGTATTTGCCAGTGGCGGGGTGCTTCGTGACTCCAGCCAGGAACCCCCAGCCCCAGGGATCTGGCCCCAGCCCATCCCACCCAAGGGCAGGGGGATCATAAGAATCTGCTTGGTAGGAGGTAACTTTTATTTTCAGGCACCATCTTTGTGCCAGGCCTTTGTCACCAGGCCCTTTACATGCATTATCCTCACACACTCTGCCACTAATGTCCCGATTTCACAGATTAGGAAACTGGGGCTTTCCAAAGTTCCTGTCACACAGCTAGCAATTAATAGCCTGGATTTGAACTTCCAGAGCCCACCTCTTGCCCCTACCTTACTGCCCTTGCCCCACTCCCCATCCTTCCCCGCTCTCCCCACAAAATCATGGTTTTCCTGAACATAACCAGCGCACCCAGAGGAGGCAGGTGGGGGCTTCAGGCTAGAGCACAGCACAAGTGGCCACTGCCAGCCTGTGAGGCTGTGGAGAGCAGAGCAGGGAATGTGTGGCCCAAGGGCCCCCACCTTGGAATCATCTGAGGGAATTATCTGAAATACAGGTCCCAGGGCCCCATTCCCCAGACCTCCCACATCAGTGCCTAGGAGTGTAGCCTGCATGTCTGCAATTAAACATACTCCCCAGGGATTCTTAGACAGCTAAGCCGAGGCTGGACTCAGGTGCAGATGGTTAAGAAGAATTCTTGCTGGAAAGCAGGTGGGACAAACTTAATTTGAGTCTCTGGTCCACCTTCCAGTCTTGAAGGACCACCATGCCACCATGGGGAGGTAATGGCTTCACACAGGGACACTCTATGCTTGCTCTGCCCTAAGCCTTTGCAGGCGTCAGTATCCCCGTTGTACCGAGGAGGACCCTGAGGCCACAGGGTCACACAGCAGGAGCGACACAGAGCAGGACTCGACCCCAGGTCTGAAGCCAGCAGGCATTGTCCCTGCTCAGATAGGTATGACCAACCGTGGGACAGGTGCCCGCTGCCAGGAGAGGGAGGGCAGTGAGCTGAAGTTACATTCACAAGCAGATGCCGCCCATTGAACCCCCTTGCCATGCAAGGGGCCGTGAGAACAGGAACTCTGGTTTCCAGTGATTACATTGTTGACTGCGTTTACCACGTGCCAACCACTTCCCCGTGTAACCCAGGTTCCCCGGACTCCACAAGCAGTAGTTTGAACCAGCCAAACCATCTTGCCTAAAAGCAGACAAGCCAGACCCTCCCTGGGCATCTGAAAGTCCCCTCGGGGAGGGGCACTCTGGAGGGAGGACTCGGGCTCCCCACTCAAGTTCAACAGCAGCCCTCCCCAAAGAGCCCCCAACACAGCACCTTGATGGCGGCTGAAGCTGGACACCTTGGACCCAGTATAGCTAACACTGGGCTCCATGTTTATTGAAACTGGGCTGGGGATTTGAAGAGAGTAGAGGAGAATTCTAGCATAAAACCAAAACTTACCAGACACCGCTGCCCCTGAAGCCCGTCAGTCACATCCTTGCATGGGGGCCCCCTGGGCCTCTCACCTGGCGTGCCACCATGTTGGGGGGCCAGTTCATCCTTGCTTATATCCCAGGACCCTAGCACGCAAGTCCTAACCCACCAGTGGAACACAGGTGATGCAGCCCCACGCCTTCTTAATGGGCAGCTTCTGGGGGGCTGGTGTTGGCCTAAGAGTAAGAGGGGTTTTCAGACACACGCACATGTGAAAATGACCACTCCTGGTTCAAGGCTTCCTGGGGCAGCTATGAGCTTCCAGCCACAGTGCTACTGGAAGCTTTTTTGATCATCTTTACCCTGATAGACTTGCTTCACACGACATAAACCTCACAACAACCCTTTATAGTAGGTATTAGGCATCCCCAAATCACAGCTCAAGAAACTGAGGCCTGAGAGAGTGGATTCACACAGCTGGAGTCGCAGATGTGCCTCTGAGACCACAGCCTGTGCTGTCTGCCCCGCTGTGGGAGCAAGGGGAGGGCTCCAAAACCAGGAAACCACGGGACGCAGAGCAGTGCCTCCTGACCCGTGTACAGGGGGCTCTGTCCTATTTGAGGGTCCCTATACCCTGATGGGGTGAAGGGGAGAAGTGATTTTGTGGCTCACCGTCCCCAAGAATCTCCCACTGGAGGAATCAAATGTGAAAAGAATCAGCTGAAAGTTCCCTTTAGACACCTAGCAAGATCCGGTTTCTACCCTGGGAAGACCCTGAATGCGATATGGTGGGAAGAGCAGTCTTTGGCACCAAAGAGGACTGGCTCTGCCACTGGCTGCATGACCTTGGGCAGTTACTTAACCTCTCTGTGCCTCTGTTTGTCTATGAAATAGGGGGAATCACCTACCTTCCAGGGCAGCGCGTGCGAGGCCCTCCTTTAGTACTGGCTCCTTCCTCTCCTGCCCTGTTGCCCCCCTCAGTTCTTGTGCCTTGGAAGGAGCTGCTGGGGAGACCTCTCTCCCTCCACAGGCTTTGTGGCAGCTTTCCAGCTCTTGCCTAATAATAGCTCCTTATCACATTAGGAGCTCATTGCAAAAAGCAGAGCTTCCCTCCTCTGGGTAATTAGAGGGAATTAGCATTGCCTTTGTGCCGCCCTCCCGTTTTCTTGAGAATTCTTGCTGGAGGAGAGATGGCTCCCGGGATAGTTTCCCTCCCTGCTGCCGGGGGAGCAGACACCTGTGGGGCCCACCTTCCCCCTGTCGGGCGGGGCCCTTCTGTCTCAGGACAGGGGCCAGGAGTGAGCCCCAGAGCTGGCCCTGTGGCAGGCAGCAGGCAGCTCGGGGTGCATGAAACAAAGGCCAGGCTGCCCAGATGCGTTTCAGTCTCTCCCATGTGGGGACTGGATTGCAGCAGGTAGGGGATTCTGCCATGCCAGGGGCTGACTCATGAGGTTTCTGGGGGAGAGAGACAGAGCCCAGGGTCCCTGGACGTTTTGGGTTCCCAAGGAAATGCCATCTGGCTTCTAGAACTTAGCACAGGGTTTGGCATAAAATTGACAATAATAATAATAACAACAGGAGCAACATTTGCAGGCACTGTGCTACATGGTCACAGATCATCATAGCTGTCCCGTGAAGTAGGGGTAATAACCGCATTGTAGGTGTGGAAACTGAGGCTGCAGAAGGGGCCAGTGCATGGGAACGGTAGAGCCAGAGGAGCCTGGGGAACCTACCTCAGAGCCAGGGCTAGTAACCGGCGCATCCGTGCTGCCTGCATGCGCACACCCATAGCTTCCATTCAGCAACCTCTGGTTCCAAGCCAGTAAGCCTGTCACATGTGCTATTTCATTGAATGTCACAACAGGCCCATGTGGTATAGGTGTCTTTATGAGTCCCATTTTACAGATGAGGAAACAGGTCTGAGAGGTGAAGGAACCAGAAGGAACCTGGTAGGCTTGAGAGGAGTGTTTGGGCAGGCAAAGGCGGGTGGCAGCAGCCTCAGTTTGGGCAAATTGAGGCATCTTGCAAAGCAGGAAACAGGAGATGCTGAGGCCCATTCACGCTGAGTGGCTCCAGCAACACTGAGCACCCACAATGTGCAGGACTGGCCACCAGGGAGCCAGAAGTGGTCCCTGCACTCCCTGAGTTCACAATCTATCAGAGGACACAAAAAAGTGCACAGGTGGCAGATACCCAGGGAGGGTCCCTAAGCAGCAAAGGAAGGTCAAGGAAGGCTCAGCACCAGTGACATCCAGTGTACCCAGGCAGGTGGCAGATTTCCATCAAGACAGGCTGGGAGACAGGCTGGAATCTTTACCCAGCATCAGCCACACCAGAACTTCCACTGCTAAGAGATTCTTTTCCTGCCCGCCTCACCACTGCTCTTCCATCCCTCTGGCCAACTGTAAGATAGGAACTCTGCCAGTGAGCTCTCTCCCTGGGCCTTTGCAGAATGGCAGCTCAGGGACTGGGGTTGACTGAGAAATGGACAAAGTTGTAGCCAAGGGAAGCCAGAGCTGTGTGTTCCTTGACAGCTGCACAGTGGGATTTCCAAGTGGTATCAGCTGTAGCCAGTGGCCACAAACACCTCCCTCCCTTTCTATCCTGTCTGCCGCCCTAGCACTAGCCTTTCCCCAACATTAAAAAGCTATAGGGAGCCAATTCTTGTTTGACACTGTGGGTCTAGGTTTCTGCTGGCTGGAATTTAGTTGTGATGGTTAGAACTTGAGCAGGCATCTTGGGTTCCCAGCCTAATTCCCTATCCTCTGTGCCCCCTTCCATGGAAACTAAGGTAAGGAAGCTCATATTTATGGAGCACCTACTCTGTGCTTTGTGTTTTGTATATATTACTTTTTTCCCACATACCCCATGAGGTGGGTATCACTAACTCTAGTTGAGTAACATCCCTGTAGAAGTGTTTTGTATCATATATGGAACATAATAGTAAGGAAAATAAGCTGTCTCTACAAAGTGCTAGGTCCTTGAACCCTTGTAGCAAACATTCAAGGTAGAAGTCAGGATCCTCATTTTACAGATGAGGAAACTGGGGTTCAGGACATTGTAAGGACTCACCCAATTACTAGTAAGAGACAAAGCTGAGGCTAGACCCCCCCTTTTCTATGACCCCAAACATAGGCTTTTTCTAGTGCCATGCAGTTACTAATGTCCACCTTTCTGTGGAAGGGTGCCGCCCCCCACCTTGACTTCTACCTTGAACCCAGGAATTTGAAAAGCCCCTTGTATGTGTGTATGTGTGTGTTTTTTCACTGAATACTGCTTACATTTATTTGAAAAGAAAGAAAAGTACAAGAAGTAGGCAGGTTCTGGGGGAAATAACAAAACTGTACAGGGAATTGTCTTTGTGTGTTCTTGAAAAATCATTTGAATAAGCCACTGTGATTTGTGATTCAAATGGAAATGCAGGTGTCATCAACTTCCTAAACTGATGTTGTTTCCTAAGATTCCCATGGCGAGCCTCCCAAGTGTCTTCCTGTCTTCTTTTTAAACAAAAAGCCTTGAAGGAATGTTCTGTCTTGTGCTTGCTTTTGCCACTAAACCAGGCCCCCCCAGAATGGCCTAGAGTGCAAGGCTCTATTTCAGGCAGCAAATCTGAGCTAAGCCGCCTCCACCCACAGCATCTCCAGCACAGCACAGCACATGGCTTTGCTCTTCATGTGCTGTGTGTCATTAAGCAAACCACCATCTCTCCCTGAGCTTCTCTGTCCTCATCTGTAAAATGAGAATGATTTTTAGAGCCTTTCTCCCCAACTGAGACTTCCGTAAGAGGCCTGGAGTCACTTCCCAGCAATGACATTTCCTGGCTGTATGACTTTGGACAAGTTACTTTACTTCTCCAGTTTCTTCATCTACTGTTAGCAGCCCACACCTGCCAAAGGAGTACATCTAGTAAGTTTATCCCCTACAGTGTATTAAGGATGTACCATGTGTTGGGCATTGTCCACTGTCACAGTTAGGCGTCGGGCACTCCAGTCACACTCCTGTTTTTCACTCCCCGTATATCCCAGCACAGAAATGGGAGTGACTCTCTGTTCTGAGGAAGACAGTGGGCACTTCTAACTTCGGGACCCTTGTCTTAAGTGAAGAATCAGGTCTCTGTAACAGGGGCCCAGCTGAAGGGGCTGAAAGACACAGGAGTCGATGCTGTCATGTAGGAAAAGGCCAGAATAGGCAGTTTAGGGCTGATATAGTGGCTTCAGTCTTCAGGGGCCAAAACTCCCTGTCTTGCTTCCCTGAAAACAATCAAGTGGGCCAACTCGTGGCCCAATATTGCTGCTCAGGCCCTGGCCATCACATCTGAATTCCAGTCAGCAGGAAAGAAGAAATAGGGCAAAAGCAGAGCACTCCCCTTTTAAAGAGACTTAGGAATTCCACATAACACCATTGCTTCATCTCACTGGCAAAACTTGTCCCAGGACAACACATAGCTGCAAGGCAGGCTGGAGAGTGTACCCAGCTGTAAGCTGGAGTTCTTATGACTCAGGGAAAAGGGGGAGAGTAAATTATCGAACATACCTTGCAGTCGGTGCCATAGCTCTATTTTCAATTTGGGGGATTCCCTGGAGGAATCCTCACAGCAACACTGTGATACGGCCACTCTTGTTGGGCCCATTTTCCAGCTGAGGTCCGTGGAGGCCAGAGGGATAAAAGGCCTTGCCCACCATCCCTGGTGAGCAGCAGAGGGCTTCCACTGCAACCTAAAGAAAATGGGAACTTCCACTCCAACTTTCTTTCCACCGGGAGATTCCTTCCTGTCCCCAGATGACCCAGATTTTATAGAGAAACTTCCTTCCTCTTTACTTCATAAATTGTAGGGCTGCATTGAACCTGGAGATGTCCTTCTCCACTCTGGATTTGAGAATCATTGAGAGTTGGAGACGTGGCATTGGTGATTGGAGAGGGTGAGGCCCAGGTGCTCAGCGTGGGCCATGGGGAGGGGCAGGCCCTCACTCAGTGTCCTCCTGCAGGTCAGCGGCCACTTGGACTATGCCAAGCGGATGGATGTCATCCTGAAGGCTGTGGGCATCCACACCAAGGCAGGCTGGGATGAAAAGGGGCTCTTGCTGGCCCCAGGCAGCCTGCCCCAAGAGGGGCCTCCCCAGGCGGCAGCCGCCTCCTCATCAGGCAAGACCACCCTCCAGGACGGGCAAACCCAGAGTCCCACACCCGGAGACACCCCCAGAGGAGCCACGTCCAGTGACCCCAGCCACTCCCGATATGAAGGGGCCTCCCTTCCTGCTGCTGCCAGCCCTGCAGAGAGCCCCCAGGTCTGCAGCCATGGCGTGGGCCCCAACCCCCTGGGCTGCCCTGACTGTGCCAGCAAGACCCAGGGGCCCTGCCCAGGGCTGGACTGACCCCAGCAGCGGGCCCGAGCCATCTTCCCTGATTTCTCCATGCGGCACTCAGTGCCTCCCTCACATTCCCCACGCAAGTGCTGGTGAAGCAGAGCCTCCACCGGCGCCTGTCTTAAGTTGAAGGCACTGGGACCGGAGGGAGGAGGAACTGTAGGGGACACCTTCCCTCCCTGGGGAGGCAAGGCTTGCGCCTGCAGAGTCAACCAGGCACAGTCCGGAGCCCAGGACTCTACCAGCCATGGGCTTCCTGTACATCAGGTCACAACTGTGGGGTTTGCCTGTCCATCAGGGGGGGCAGGGGACTCTCTGGGTGCTGAGCCTCCTGTACCACCACTCCCCCTGCCTCAGTAATCTGCCCGCTTTTCCATCCACACTCCAGGGCTGCCCGCCAACCCACGAGCTCCACAGATGCTCCTGCAGCAGGCCCAGGTAGGGCACTGGCAGCTTCCTCTCTCTTGCCTTGGGAGATCTGATCAGACCTGCCACATACAGCCACACAGACTGTGACTGAACAGCTACCAGCATCATCAATCCTGTAGACAGGATTTGACGGGCGCCCCCCACCAAGTTGTGCTCCATGGCAGCCCTGGATATAACAGCTTAGTGAATAAATGCTGAGTCAGTGTGCACTGGGGGTGGGAACTGGGCCTGGGACAAGAATGAATTAAATGGAGGAAGGATTTCCTGTAACAGGAGCAGAGGTGGTGATGATTATAATAATAAATAATAATAACTACCATTAATTGACCATTTACTGTGGATAGAGTGCTTACATGAATTGTCCATTTACCCCTACAAGAACCCTATGAGGTAGATATTATTACCTTCATTTTACACGTGAGGTTATTGAGGCCCAAAGAGGTTAAGTAACCTGCTCAAGGTCACACTGCTGGTCATTCTCAATCTCCAGTCAGTCAGACTCCAAAGCCCAAGCTTTTAGCCACTATATCTGTGTCTATGGGAATCTTCTCCTTTATTCCACTCACTGCCCCTGAATAATAGGGACAGAGATAATTCTCCCCATCATGCAGATGGGGAACCCCAAGCTCAGGCAATGAAACTATTGCAAAGCTCTGAGGGAGGCAGCAGGGAGAAGAGACAGCAAGAATTAGAATATTGGAGCTGAAGTGGGCCTCACAGGTGTGTGTATTTGTTCATTCAACAGATATTTATAGAACTGCTGCTATTAGTCCAAACAGCTCATGTCATCCTTAGAAAACTAAGGCTCTGAGAGGGGAAATGACTTTGCTGAGGTCCCAAAGCATATTAGAAGCAGAGTCAAGACCAAAACTCAGGACCCCTGTGCCCAGGGTCTCTCTCTACATCACCAGCTGCTTCTCCAGCCTAAGTGGTCCTCAAGCAAATCCACAGTCGCTGCCTCAGCTAGTGTGTATGACAGTCCCCTCGGCAGGCCTGGAGGCAGCGGGAAAGCCCCAGCAAGCACCACGGCCCCTCTGCAGCCAGAGGCAGAGCTGGATCTAATCAGCACCAAGGAGAGGGCCAGGCCACCCCGGAAGGTTTCCCTGGGGGTGTGGACTTATTGAAATTGGGGGTGGGGGTGGGGGGGCAGCAGGGGGAGAATAGCCTCAGACTGAAAATGAACCTATGGCATGGAAACTGGGGGCCAGGAATCCTCCCTCAAACATGAGGCGCTCATGCCAGGGTCCCCTGGCCTGCCTGAGGGCACCAATCTGCACCAGGGACAGCTCTCAATTCTGCTGGCCCAGGTGGCCACCATGTCTGTCTGCCTCAGAGACCCAGGGAAGGCCAGAAGGAGGTGGGGCAAGGGGCTGGTTCTGTCCCCATCAGCTGGTTCCCTTCGAGTCCAAGGAAGCCCAGGACAGAGGAAAATCCATCCCTGGTGTTAAACAAGAAACCACCAGCTCGCCCTTGACCCCCAGAGAGGCCAAGCAGCAGCCTGGGAGCTGAGGTGGGGTCCCCATCCAGCACACAGGAGCTGGGGAGCCACAGTCAGGTGGGAAGACCTGTACCAGGGTTGGAAAGGAGGAAAAAAATAAACCCAGAGAGAACAAATAGCCCTTCCTGGCCCACAGCCATAGGCCAGGGGGCTGGATGGCTGGGAATCATAACAGCAGCAGGTACCACCTACTGACCACCTGCCATTCTACATACGCTATACACATTCTACACACATTGTAGTAATGCTCTCAATACCCTAAGAGGCAGGCATCATTACCTCCGTTTGCACAGGGGATAACAGGCTCAGAGAAGTGACCTGTGCAAGAGCTAGTAAGGAGTGGAAGAGACATCAAATTGATGCCTGCCTGACTCCCAGTCTCAGGTGCTTCTCTGCGCAGCCACTTATATCTTGAGGCACTGGCCAGACCAAAAACTCCAGCAAATCTCCCTCAGGGTTAAAGATCATTTAAGCCAGCACATCTCAAACAGTAACGTGCACATGACTCACCAGGGGCTCTTTCCAACATGTAGATTTTGACTCAGCAGGTTTGGGGAGGGGTAGAAGTGTGCAAACCCCAGGAGATGTTGCTGGTACTTGCTGGTGACCCTTGGACTATCCTTTGAGGGCCAAGGGAGTCGGCCCAGAGCTAACCCACCTCTGCAGACAGACGCACTCCTCCCACACAGTCTGATGGAATGTGCAAAGGAGATGATTGTCCTCATCCTAATCTGAACCGAGAGGTCCTTTCCCTACTCCCAGAGTCCTCCAACCAGCCTCTACACACATCCACAAGTGACCCGCATCAATGGAGTGTCCTGGAGAAAACTGTGTCTGAGCCAGCTATTATCCCTCCAGGTAGGGGGCCTGGAGTGGGCAGTGGGGGCTGGCTCGGTGCACCTACTGGAACTCAAAGGGCTTCCAGGAGACCTGCAACCTTCTGGCCTCAGGCAAGAGCTGGTCTGAGGCCTCAGGGACTTAGTCCCCTCCAGTTCAGCTCCCTGCTGACCAGCTCCAGGCCCAGGTCAGTTCCTGGGGGTACCGAGGGGATGCAGCCGCAGCTCAGGCTCCACGGGGTCAATGCTGAAGAAGCTGACCACAGCAGTTGTCCTAGCAGGTGGCTGGGGATCCTGGGTGGCCTCTCCAGGCAGGAGCAGCTGGGCTGTGAGCTGCAGGCCTGAGGAGCCGCCGGAGTCGGAGTCGGAATCCGGGGGCAGAGCCAGAGGCAGCACCTGCTGCAGGCTAAGGCCTGGCCGGGGGCCGCTGTGAGAGGTACGCATGGAAGGTGAGGCAAGGCTGGCCTGGTGCTCCCGGGGGCAGCGGGGACATGGCAGGAACCTGCCCAGGGCCCGCTTGAAGTCCCGCATGAAGAGTGGGTAGATGATGGGGTTCATGGTGCTGTTACAGTAACCCAGCCATGTGAGGACATCGAAGAGGCCTGGGGAGATGCAGTCGCACACAGCCTGGAGGGATGGGGTACGTCATGCCTGGTCCCACAGCAGGGATGGGACAGACCACACAAATACACATGCCATGAGAAGCAGCCCATCCTCCCCCTCCCTGTATCTGGGCTGGGGTGGGGTTAGGGCCTCCTCCAAAGGCCTGAACTCACCTGCCCCCAACAGTGGCATTACCTGGGCTATGTTGGCCACAAAGAAGGGCAGCCAGGTCACAAAGAACATGCCCAGCAGGATGCCCAGTGTCAGGCTGGCTTTCAAGGCCTTCCTGCTGTGCTTGGTGGCCAGACGCCTGCTGTCAGCTGACTCCACCCCTGAGCGTGGGGTCCTGGGCAGCTGCAAAAAAGGAAGACCACATGAGTTCACTGAGAAAGAACTCCAGTCTGACCCCAATCCCAGCCACAGAGTGAGCCTTGATCCTTATTCTAGACTGAGCCCTTGTACCAGCAATAAACTGAGCCCTGATGTTTGAGCCCCAACTGTAGTCCTACACTAAGGCCTGACCCTGACTCCAGACTGAACTTTGACCCTGACTCTAGACCAGTCCTTGACATCAGCAATAAACCTAGCCCAGGTCCCCTGATGATGGGACTGCACATGGTTCCAGACTGAGCCCTGACACCTACCATAGATTGAGCCCACTGTAACCAAAGTCTTAAATTGAGCTTCACCCAGGACCAGACTGAGCCTGACCTTAGCCCCATTCTGTGCCTTGAGCCCAGCAATAGACTGAGCCCCGATCCTGGTCCTTCACGGAGCTCTGACCTGACACAATACTTCACAAGGAGTTCCAGGAAGTACAGTAAGACAGTTCCAGGAAGTACAGTAAGACAGAGCAACACTGCTCCAAACACAGATCAGACAGCTCAGAAGACACTCTCCCAGCAAAGAACAGCACCGGACACAGGCTGACACACATGACTGTTAGCCCCAGCTCCTCCCAAAGCCTTTGTTGTTACAAGAATTAGTTGCAATTGAACAGTACTTGACAAAAGAGGCCCTGCTGCTGTCCAGGGCCTGGCAATCCTTTTGTGGATGGACCCTCTTCATATTCTGGGGTAATGGTTTTGCCTGTGCCACTCCCTTGTGCTCCACAAAATAAAGTGCTTTTTTGAAAGCATGCACACAGAGCAAATGTTTACAATGAAATATAGATTACTAGGGATGCTAGTGACCCTGGCATCCTACAACTCAAATTATGCTGTGGACTGGCAGACATCTCCATTCCCAAACGTGGACTTCCAGCACAGGAGCATGGGGGAAAGAAGGAGGAGAAAGGAGCAGCCTCACAGCAGGCGGTGGGAAGGGGACACAGGCCTGAGGACTTTGGCTTTGCAAACTGGTAACTGGCAGTCCCAAAATATGAAAAGTCTCTCTAAGCTGGAAGATCCTTTAGCCCAGTTGTTCTCTACCTTTTCAACCTCCTGAGACCATTGAGAATACAATGAAATCTATAAAACTGATCCCCAGAAAACCAAAAGTTTATTTTATACACACACACACAGAAGAAAAAAAGAAAATCCCACACTTCCAGAGGGTTCAGAGACCACCTTGAAGTCCATCCATGAAGCCCCCAGGGCAGTGGCAGGGGTGAGGGGGCAGTACATGAATGCTAGGATGTGAAGCATGTTGAACCTATTTGGGTTTTCATACATCAGACTTACACAGTGAGACCCACCTATATCTACAGTTTAAGCAAAAACCAGTGTGCAAAGCTGTGCACAGTTCATTGAAGTATGCAAAGGATGTGTGTGCTGTCTGGGAACACAGATGGGCTTTGGAAGCCAGGGATTCCCCTAACATCTCCTAAACTGTGTAAGAGCCCAGCTTAGCTCTTGAGGCAGCCAAAGGGTGGGTTGCGTATGAGGAGATGAAAGGAAGAGGCAGGGAAGGAACCAGATTCCCAGGCAACCTTTGCAGATGGAAAGAGGGTGGAGGAGGCAAAGCCAAGATGTTTCAGCCGTGGGAAGCACAAAAGCCAACCGCAGCCCCCACCCCCACCCCCACCCCAGCCCCGGCCCCGTTCTCCTGCGCAGAAGCAAACCTTCCAGCCCTGCCCTTCTCTCCACGCCCCCTCAGGGTATGCAGACTTGGTTCCTGTCCATGGTGCTGAAACCCAGCTACATGCTATCTTTCTATGCTATCTTTCTACAAGGGCCAAGAGATCTGTCTGATCCTGGCATGGTGGTAGGCAGGGGAGGGGAAATGAAGCACACTGTAACTCCCACTTCTCAACATGTTTATCCAGGTGAAATCTGGTTATATAAATATCAAAGACAAATTCACAACGAACAGCCTAAAAGATGCCCCTGATTTCTCCCCTTTGTCTTGATGGGGCAGCATTGTACAGAGGCATGAAACTGGTCTTGTAAGACAAGTGATCTTCCTTCAAATTATGCCTCTACCACTTACTGACTTTGTGATCTTGGGAGAGTCTCTGTTTCCACATCTGTAAAATGGGAGAAACAATACTCAGCTTATGGAGTCATTGAGAGGCTGCAGATAATAAACGCATGCACAGTGTCCAACATAGAGTAAATGCCAAGTACATGGTAGCCCTGATGTCAGCTCAGTGGTATGGGTTCAAGACTGGAGAAATTTTTAGCACCCTCAAGAGCCCCATCCTCTGTCAGCAGCTAGGGGTCCCCAGAGCAGCATGGATGTCGGGACAAATGCTCTGACTCACCATGTCGTAGAAAGAAAGGAAAATAGGACCTACTTTTCTCTTTCCGCTTCTCATTTTCTGTCCGCCAAATTGAACTCTATATCGATTCTGTAGCTCTACCGTGGTCAGCCTGGAGGAGAGCTCCCTGCTTCCCCCAAAGAATCTCCTAAGATCTGCCATGCCTATAAATTGCTGCTGTCAATGGAGATAGACAATGAGGAGGGAGCCAGTCTCCAAAGGAGCCACCTGTACAGGTACCCCTCTAACCCCTGGTGACCTGGGTGGGACAGGGAGGGCAAGAGATAGCCCTGATCTTGTCAGAGCTCTAGGGCACTGGGGAACAGACACTTGGGGAGACACCTTTAGGGCAATCAACAGGGCAATCAATTGAGATGATCTCAGACTCCCTTTCCAAGAATCCTTGTGGGAAAAACCCCAGTCTTTCCTTTCTTCTTTTCTCCCCAAAGAGTTGGCTCAAGAACAAGCAAAAGGACAGAGAAAAGGAAACTGAGGCTCAGAGGGGGCAGGGGACCCTCCCCAGGACACACTGTATCAGTACAAGGCCCCAGTAACCACAAGTCAGCACCATTTATTGAGCACTTACTAACCGTCAGCATTTGCTATTCAACCCTTACATGAGGTAGGTATTATTATCCCCATTTCTCAGACGAGGTTCAGAGAGGCAAAATAACTTGCCAGGAGCCTCGCAGAAGATAAATGTTGAGCCAGGGATTCAAAGTCATTTCTGGCTCCACAAAGTGCACCTTTTCCACTTCACCATGCTGCTTCCCTTGAAGGATGGCACTCATGGGCACAGTCAGGGGCAGTTACAGAAACCCCGCTGCTGTCACCGAGTGGCCCTCCTAGAGCAGAAAGAAGCCCATGGCAACCGCCAGCCTCACTCTGCCCTCTTTTCTCTGCCCTATAACCACCTCAGAGCCCCGCAGGGCCACATCCTATTGTCTGCATGTCTTTATAAATGTCCATGGCTTGTGTCCCTGCCAGAGGGCAGCCACCTGGAGGACAATTTGGCAGTGCCCTTCCAGGACACAGTTCCACTTACAGGTTCTCCCTACGTTCAGTAAATACCTGTGCGTATGCCTGTACACTCAGCGTCTACAGGAATGTGTACCACAGCACTATTCCTGATAGGATAAAATGGGAAACAGCCTACATGTCCATCAAAAAGAGAGTGGTTAAATAAACCACAGTACATTCTCACTATAGAATACTACACAGATGTTTAAAAGAATGAATCAATCAAATGGAAAGATGTCCAAGACACATTATTAAGTGACAATGGCAAGTTGCAAAACCATAGATAAGGTGTGATTCCATTTTCTTAAAGAAATGCACAAAACAAAACACTAAGTTTGTTCGGGTACATTAGCATTTATAGAAACATATGGAAAAAGGATGGGAAAGACATACCCTAAAATGATAGAGTATCCCTGGGAATGGAAGCAGCTGGATGGAATTGGGGAGGACCTTTTTCTTTATAGTTGGATTTTTATTTTAAAGTGTACTTACGTATTCCCTTGTATAGTTTAAATTTTTTACCATCATCTAATCATAGTGTGAGGATTATGAGACAGACTCTGGAGCCAGACTGTCTGGTTTCAAATTGTGGCTCTATTATTAGCTAGCTGAGCACCCCTAAGGGCTGTACTTCACCTCTCTGTGCCTCAGCCTTCTCATCTGTAAAATGGCAATTATAATGGCATCTGTCTCATAGGATTATAGTAAGGACTAAATATGGCAATATACACAAAATTACCCGAGCAGTGCGTGGCACACATACGCTCCATGTAGGTGTCAGCTGTCATTGTTGTTATTGTTTATGTTTATATTATTAGTGTCCAGCTCAGCTCCATGATAATGGTGGGCAACAATGGTATTTTTTTCTCCCTAGAAAGGCTCAAAGGGGTGAGTTCTCCAGAACCATGTATTTTACTACCACAAGGAGCTAACATTTGTTGAGCACCTATTATGTGCCAGGTTCTACATACATTATCTCATTGATTCTTCAAACACCCTTCTGTGATGAATAGCATTACCCCCAGAGTAGAGGAAGGTGAATGACTTGTCCAAAATCAGCTAGCAGTGCTGGAAAGGAGGCAGGATTTGAACCCATGACCAGCCAGAGGCAAAGGCTCCTGCACCCGGCCCTGGGTGCACCCGGCTGCCTTGTTCCCAGCAGCAGCCAAGCCTGCCACGCTCCCCACAGCCTCTCCCTAGCTCAGCCCCCCTCCTCCTCTGAGATATTTCTGTGATCACGACGACAGTGACGGAAGGGAAGATGGATCACCAAGCAGAACGAGGCACAGTTGGGTGAGGGAGGGTGGAAAAGGCTGGCGGGGGAGGAAAGGAGGAGAAATTGATGGGTGAGAAGTGGGAGAGGAAGATCGGGAGATGCAGAAGGAAGGAAGAGAATGGGGAGAGCCGGGCCTGACAGGAGGGTGCATGGGAGAAAGGGAGACAGATGAGGTACCGAGGAAGGCGAAGGGAGGGGGCCGCGGACCACAGACACAGGGGTCCTGGCAGAGAGAGAGGCTGAGAAGGCAGAAACTCCCAGCCAGCCTCCTGCTGCTGCTCTCCATGGGGCTGCACTTCCACACTGGTGCCCCTGGGATCTCCCAAGGATGAGCACCACCCCACCTGGGCACCCACCTCTCTAGCTATCACCTATCTATCTATCTATCTATCTATCTATCTATCTATCTATCTATCTATCTATCTATCTATCATCTATCATCATCTATCTATCTGTATCAAACTATATCAAACTATATCTATCATCTATCTCTCTTTATCAAACTATATCTATCATCTATCTGTCAAACTATATCTATCATCTATCTATCTCTATCAAACTATATCTATCATCTATCTATATCAAACTATATCTATCTAACTCTATCAAACTATATCTATCTATCATCTATCTATCTATCTATCTATCTATCTATCTATCTATCTATCTATCTATCTATTTATCTATCTATCATCATCTATCTTCTATCTCCTCCACCCCACCCTGCCCTGGCAGCATCTCCCTCTGACACCACCACCCACCATGCCCCCCTCTCCATCCCTGGCTCACAGTCCCAGCCTCAGATCTAAGTAGAACCCTTTCTCAAATCCCCTGGGGCTAGGAAGACCTTGCTGAAACTATGGAGCCAACCAGTAGCTTTTTAAAAGCCCATTCCCATAAACAGGTAGGTGTGGGGTATAGTGGGGATAAAAATGCTCAAGCTTGCTCAGCAACCGTGTTCTCAGCCCCAGAGAAGCTAGGACAGGACTTCAGGGACCTGTTTGACCTGTTTCCAGCCTCTTCCCTCTGTGGGGAAGCTAGAGGCTGGATTTCAGAAGGGAGCTAAGGGCTAAGTGGGGTGGAGAACAGGGAAAAAGGGTCCAACACACCCAAGTTTTGTTTCTTCTCATCAGTTCCTTTGGGTCTAGGCATTGAGAGAGCCTCCACCCCGCAGCCCAGAAGCCTAGTTTTGGGGGCAGGCCAGCTTGGGTGGGAGGAAAGGGGTTGTGACGCCAGAGGCCAGAGCAGAGGCAGCATCCCAGAAGCAAATTCCCCAATCACAGGCAGTTCTCCAGGCAATAAGGAAAACAGGCACACAGAGGGCTTGCTTAGGGGCAAGGGGTTTGGACAGCAAGGGTAGTGCCGGCTGACACCTCCCCTCTTTCTGAACTTCAGTTTCCCCATCTGTCAAACGGAGATGGTGGCTGGGGATTGCTTCATTGGGTATTAGAGGGATTAGCTTAGCTCAGTGCCTGGCATGCTGTGAGCACTCAAAGACTGTGGGGCCACAACTGTTAGCACCCATGGGCCACAGTCTCAAGTTCAGTCCTGTTAACAACCAATTCGTTTTGTAGAAAGAAAATCGCTCACTGAAAGAAACAGTGTCACAGGCACCACTGGAGTCCTCTCCCAACCCGGCCTCTCCAAGGCCAGGTGACTTCTCTGTCCTCGGTCACAAAAGCAGTGCTTTCCAAAGTGTGGGAATGGGAGAGGGCTTCAGGTGGCAAAGGGACACTCACAAAATAACTGAATCACAGAATGAGTCATTAGCCCTTTACAGCGTTCCTCCAGCTGTCCTGGTTACATCAAGAGAAAGTCTTTCGTTGATGCCTCCACGCCTTTAACATCACTCTAACTCTTAACAGAGAGAAAGCAGGCCTCAGGCTCAGTCACGCAGCCGTCCCCGGCTGGTCTTCAGTAACACCACTGGGCTTGCTGAACTTCACTGAAATTATGTCTGCGATTGCCTTCTATTTATGGCAAAGAGACCGATTTTCCATTTCTGGAGGCGACAGGAAGTTTTCTTTCTAAACAAATTCATGGAAGTAAAAAGATAAGTGGGATGATTTAAAGAAAACGCCAAGTACACACGAATGAAGTGGCTTGAGGAGTGTGTGGGGGTGCGCAGAGGGGAGTAAGGCAGAGATCCCAAGGGGCTGCAAATGCCTGAAGTTCAGGAAACACTTCTTTACAAGAACCAGAGAGAGAGTGTGGATGGCCCAGGACAGCCACCTGACCACTGAAGAACCAAGTCAGGGGGCGCAGGCACCTGCTGAGACTCAAGACGTTCTCCAGCGAGCACAGATAGAGGAGAGAGAACAGGGCTGCAGCCAGGACCTCCTGTGCACCCCAGGCGAGGATGACCTGCCAGCTGCAGCTCTGGGCCCCTGTTCCTGGGGTGCGGGGACAGGCAAGCTGCTCTTGGGGACTGCCAATCACGGTGTTAGCCATTCAGCCCGTCACCATGGCGTGACCTCCAAGGCACTCTGCATCCTGCAAGTGTCTCTTCCACCTGAGGCTACATCAAGGAGCCCGGAAAGCCCAGTCAGGACCTTCCTCAGGGCCCGTGGTCTAATTATCTGGGGCTCAGGCCTGGTCAGTCTAAATTCCCATCTCTCAGGGTGAACAACTGCACTCGGGTGCCATGTGGCCTAGGTGAAAACAGAAGCCACTCCACTCTAGACACTGCAGGGCCTTGGGCTAAGAGCACCTACCCCTTTCACAAGCATTTAGTAAGTACCTACTATGTGTAGGGGAACCAAAACCAACCCAGATATACCCAGCCCTTATGAAGCTTGCATACGAGTGGGAGAGATGGTCAATGAACAAGTCAACAAATAACCTGGGGGTCAGGAGAGAGAGTCACAGAGTGTGGGAGGGCAGGTGGTCAGAGACAGCCTCTGGGAAGGGGTGACCTGGGAGCTGAAATGGCCCGGCAAGGGTAAACCCAGGGGAAGAGCATTCCAGGCAGAGGGGGCAGCAAATGCAAAGTCCTGGGCACAGAAGCCAGTCTGGTTCCTTCAAAGAGTGTCAGAAGGACCACTGGGCTGGTGCAGAGAGAGAGCAGGCAGTGGGAGAGAGGTGAAGCTGGAGAGGCTGGTGGGACCAGATCCCAGGGCCCCTCTTTATCTTGAGGCAATGGGGAGCCACTGAAGGGTTTGAAGCCAGGAGTGATGTGATAACTTTTTTTTTTTGGTCTGGCTCCTGTGCAAAAAATGAGTAGGGCTAAGCATGGAGTGAGCTAAACAGGAGGAGCTGGAAATGGCCACATGGCTGTCACCAGCAAGTGCCTATTAAGTGGCAAATGCCCAGTGGGCCCCCAATGGCTACTCATTTCTCTTCATCCCACAAGCCCGGGTCTCCCTGCGCACCCTGGGTACCTGCAGCGTCTCCAAGCCCTGGCCAGTGGTGAGGGAGGCCACCTGTAGGGCCTGCTTTCGGGCAGCCAGCAGTATTCTGCAGTAGGTGAAGCAGAAGGCGCCTGAGGGCAGGAAGAAGGTGAGGCTCGACGCCACGAGGACGAAGGGCAGGCTGGCCAGCAGGCGGCACTGGCCCGGGGCAGACGCCCGCACGCGGCCCAGCTCGTGCCAGCCCAGCAGCAGGGGCAGGAAGGAGGCGAGCGCGGCGAGACTCCAGGCACCCAGAACGAGCGCCAGAGCGCGCGGAGCCGTCATGCGCAGCTTGTAGCGCAGCGGCGAGAGGATGAGCAGGTAGCGGTCCAGGCTGATGAGGCAGAGGTTGAGGATGGAGGCGCTGCAACACATCACGTCGAAGGCGGCCCACAGCAGGCAGAGGCTGCGCGCCAGCACCCAGCGCCCATACAGCGCGTTCAGCATAGCAGGCGGCATCACCACCAGCCCCACCATCAGGTCCGACGTAAAGAGCGACACCAGGAAGAAGTTGGACGTGTTGCGCAGCGCGGGCTGCGTGCAGATGAGCGCGATGAGCAGCGAGTTGGCCGCCGCGGTCAAAGCGATGACCACACACAGCGCGGCCGCCACCCAGCCACTGCCCCCCGGGCCCGACGGCGGCCCGGACCCCGGGTCCGGGTTGCTGTAGTTGGTGGGGCTCTGCTCAGGGACCATGGGGGCGGGGGTGCAGGGCGAGGACCCGAGGCCCGAGAGGATGAGGTAGGGTGGATGGAGAGACAGGATGATGGGCGGAAGGAGCAGAGGCTGGAGGGGCTTCGTTGGTGAGAACAGGCCCCCCCCAGGGGTCAGATGGTAAGATAGACGCAGGGACGCTAGGTCAGGGGAGGAGCGGGGTTATATGGGCGCCCTGGGGGTGGGGTGGGGACACTGGCAGCAAACAGGGAGGAGTTTGGGAGGGGGCACCTGACGAGGAGCGGAGCCACCTAGACGGGGCGGGCGGAGAGTCAGGAGGAGGGGACGCCGGATGACTCCGGCAGGCAGGACGGGCGGCCGCAGAGCCGCCTGAGCGGGCGAGCGGCGGTAAGACGGGGCGGCCGCCTGCCGGGCGGGGAGGCGCGGCGGCGCCAGCGGGGGGCAGAGGAGCGCCTCGGCCGCGGCAGGGGGGGCTGTGGGGACGCTCGGGCCGGAGCCGTCGTCCCTTGGGTCGCAGGCTGGGGGCCCACCGGCCAGAGCAAAGCCGCCTCGGGGAAGGCAGCACTCAGAGCCGGCGCAGAGGCACCCCCGGGCTTGGGCGGCCCCGGCCCCCTGCGGCCGGCGGGGAGAGGACAGCGGCCGCGCCTCCGCCCCTCCCCACCCGGCCGCCGGGCAGCCGGCCCCGCTCCCGCTCGCGCTTGGTACCTGCGCTGCAGCTCTGCTCGGCTGCCGGCGACTGCGGCAGGCGCCGCGGGCTGGGAGAGGACACGGTGGCCGCGGGCGGGCAGGCGCCCAGCGAGTCGGGGAGGCGCAGCGAGGGGCCCGCGCGCGGTGGGGCCGGTGGGAACGCACAGGAGCGCGCGGTTCCCGCCCCGCGGTGGGCGGAGAGCCCGGGGTCCGGGCTCGCGGCGGGCGGGTGCCTGGCCTTCCAGGCCTGCGGAGGGACGATCCGGGCGCCCCAGCTGCTCCAGGTCGCCTCCCCAGCTGTGGCAGTCTCCACACCCCCGCAAACCGCTCCAGAACCACACGTGGCGGCGGCGCGGGAGGAGCTCAGGGTAGGGAGCTGTGGGCCGCCTTGATCCAGGACTGCTCCCCAGTGGGGGCTGTCCCCCCGCAGCGGGGTCGCCATGCTACCAGGGGGAGCCCGTTGAGAGAGACCTGGTGGATCGCTTGACATCCATGTGTATATGCACACATATACATACCCATATGTACATGTATATGATATTACATAAAATATATAATGACCTGTATAACACTTCTTCAAACCTTTCGCTTAACCATGAGGGTACCTCCTCCTCAGGGTCTTCCCAGCAGAAACCATCCTATCCTCCGAGAGCACCAGGCTCTATGAAAGGGATGCCCTGACCTGTTGGTACTCCCAGTCTAAGAGAGTGTGAACAGATTTGGAAATCTCCAGGACAAGTGGGGTAGATTGGCTGCAGGGAGAGGGATGGGGTGTGGCACCCCTGGGTGTAGTTCCCGCTGTGGATCTCTCCCCGTGGCTAAGAAGAGTCTCTGCCAGACACTGCACAGATTAGTAGTGTGGATTCCATTCATTCATTCAACCAACTTTTATTGAACACACACTAGGGGCCAGGACTGTTCTGAGCAATTGGGACATTACAATAACCAAAACAAAGATCAAACTTCATGGAGTTTACCCTCCAGTGGAAGGAGACAGATGATAAACTATATGCATAATAAATGCTTAAAGTAGTCATAAGGTGATCATTGTTATAGAAAAAAAGAAAATGGAGAGCAATACAAAGGGGATCTAGAGTGGGGGAGGGTCTTTCTCCCTCCACAGAAACAGAAAAGTAATACCTCCCATGTATAAGGTCCCTGCTATGTTCCAGGGGCTTTCTTCCTACTGCTACAATAAGGCAGGTGCTCAAACAGGGCTCAGAGAGACCAAGGGCCTCACCCAAAGTCGCCAGCCACAAGCGATCAAATGGAACTGAAATGTGGGACTGTGCATGCCCGTGGCAGAGAAGCCTCAAGCCCCTGCAGCAGACCCATCCGCCCCAATGTCACAATTTGGTGCCCAGAGCCCATCCAGGCTGCACATGGGTCTGTGCAGCAGAAGCCTGTCTCCCTCCCAAGACCACTTGCACCACCTTGATAATTTCTGCTGCACCCCAAGGAACAGGATGCGAAGCACTGGGCTGCGAGTCATAGACCAGACTTGGGATCCCAGTTCTGCTGCTTACCAGCTCTGTGGACTGAGGGCCAGCAGCTCTATCTGCTTGGGGCACCGTTTCTCCTCTACAATGGCTACACCCATCCCACAGGGTGATGTGATCTCATGTGATCTGTAAATATTTCGGTGCCGTGTCAATGCTAGCTGTTGGCCTCAGCATTCCCATCTGTACAATGGGAGTGCATTCAGATGTGCTGTAACCCACAGCAAACCAGAGGGGTGCTCTGTAGACTTCGGAGCCCAGTGACCTGCTCCTTGCTCTGTAAACTTGGCAAAGTCTCTTAAACTCCCTGCTACTATGCAATTGGGGTAGTGGAGATGTGAACAGCATGAGTGTTCAAACCATGTCACACAGAGGAGATGCTTGGTAAATTTTAGCTTTGTAAAAATTAGTAGCATATAGTAGGATAACATCTTAGTCCCTCAGCTTTAACTTGTTTGATGTCCTTTACTTAAAAAATAGAAAACATGACAAAAATGTTAATATTTGTTCATTCTGGGTATTGATTCACACAAGTTTGCTATGTTAACGATCTGTATTTTGGAATAATTTTTTTAAATTTTTGTTCAAGATTGGGCCTGGGTGGTGGTGCCACCGTGTGGCCACTGTTATTATTTTGAATGGAAGAACTTTTCAGGTGTTTCATGTGCACGCCCCTAGATTTACTGTGTCCTTCGTGGAGTAATAAAGTCCTAGCCTTCCTAAGCATTTCAGGGTAGAGACCTCCAAGGATGCTCAGCCTTTGCTTGATAACATCTAACCACTGTCCCTGGAGTTGGCTGGTGCTATCCTAGAACAGCTGACTTCAGAAGTCCTCTGCCCCAGACCCCAGTGCTTGGCAGTACAAAGAGGACCAGGAGAGCTCTTCATTACAGAGTTTGAGAAACTGAGGCCTCGGGAGGCTGTGATGCCTGCCCCAAACTGTTCTCACCGAAGGCAGTGACCAGCTGGATGGACTACGTGAGGTGAAGGATTCGTCTGTTTTGTTCACTGCTCTATCTTCATTACATATGAGGCTCTCAATAACCATCTGTTCAATGAATGAATGAACAAAACTATCAGGCCAACCACCAGCAGTTGTGGGTCAGTCATTCATTCCCACTAATTATAATAATGGCAGGCATTTATCAAGGTTTTACATGTGCCAGGCACTGCTCTAAGCTCTATTTGTATGCTGATTTATGTGAAGCTCACCGTGACCCCAGGAGTGAGCTAGGTGTGATCATTTGTCCCTGTTTTACAGATGGGAAAACTGAATCTCAGAGATCTTCAGTGATTTGCTCAACTTGCCCATATGCCAGGATATGAACCCAGGCAGACTGTATTTTCCCAGGGCTTAGAGCAGGGGAAGAAAACTAGCTGGGAGTTGTTTGCTCCATGTAGGCAAACCAGGTAGGGAAGCCGGTACTAATTACGCGTCCATCCAGAGAGGAGCCTGTGCTGACAGTGCTGAGTGTCAGTGTTAATCTCTTGTAAAGATTTTAAGCCCCTCTACCATTGCTGGTGGAGCGGGTAGCTGAGGAGGGCTGGACATTTTTTGCCTGAGATTTCTTGGTGGTTCAGTTTGAGGTTGGCAGAGAAAAACTGAAGTCACTACTCCACATCTCTAATTGGTAAGCTAACACACTAGGGAAGCTTCCTGTTCAGTCATTTCTCGAAACTGGCTCCTCTCACATCCAATCAGCAGCACCTTTCTCCAATCAGCCTCCCCTCTGCCCCAGCCAGAGTCTGGCCTCCATCATCTCCTGCCTGGACCCTGCTTGTAGTCGCCTGCTGGTCTTCCGTCTCCCTCTCCTCCTTTAGTCTCGCTGAAACCCAGCTCTGGGGCTCTAACTGCAGAGAAAATGAAGTCCGAACTTTGGCTAGCATTCCAGGCCTGCCACTAGCACCAACCAGCCTTCCTGTTTTCTTTCCAACCGGCCTCTGATTTCATGCTTCTTTATCAATGTATACCCTGCCTTGCTCCCTACACAGGATGGAGGCAGCTCCTCCACCAAGGCCATGCTCGAGCCTCAGAGGCCCAGAGCCAAGGACAAGGCCCAGGAAGTCCTTCCTTTGGACCTGGTCTCTGAGGTGTACCAGAAGCCCAGCAGCACTTTCTGAGCCTTCAGTCTTCACCTCCATCTGTACATAATGACTGTTAGTATGGCCAGGGCTTGTCCCTACCACAGAGGGGGCACTGAGGTTTGCATGAATGAGGTATACTTCTCTCCAGCGCAATTCTAGGGACATGGATGGCTATGTCCACACAACTGCAAGCTGGGAAATACACAACCTGCCCAATAGTGCTGAGCAGCCATGAGAAGGGCTTGTGTACACGGAGGAAATCAGGTGTGTAGTTCACAGCCTTTGTCACTAGAGGGTACGAAGTTACACTCTGGGCTCCCCTGCCTCCCAGCCTGAGCAAATCTCCCAGAGCCTAAAGGCACTCATTTGTAAAATGAGGCTTTTCCGTGGATTAGAAATAATATATGTGACGGTTACATAAGTGAATACACGTGTGAAAATTCAAACTGTACAGTAAGATGTGTGCATTTTATTGTATATACCTCTATAAAAATGTTAATTGAAATATTAAAAATAAATTAATTCAATAGTTTAAAGATGCTAAGAGGGTAAATCTTAAAATTCTGAAGAACACCTCCCCACCAAAAAAAAAAACCACATTCCTTTGGTAACTATGAGGTGACAGGTGTTAAACTAAACTTATGGCAATCATTTCCCAATATATTGTCATTATGCTCCACACTTTATACAGTGCTATATGTCAATTATATGTCAATAAAACTGAAAAAAGTAAGAATATGTGTAAATTGCCTGGTATGTGGTGGAAGGAAGAATGTGTCTAAGAAAGGTCCATAGCCCTCACCCATACCATTAGCCCTGCCATGTCTCAAGTGACAATTTGGGGAGACCCAGGCTCAATTGCTTGGGAGTAATGATAGCAAACCCACAGGGTCACTGTGAGATTGGCAAGCACCTGGCCTGGCACACAGCACATGGTCAACAAATGGAAACCCCTGAGGTTCCACTGAAAGCAGAGTGATTAGGCCAAAATGCCTGGAGTCGTGTAAGTGATAAACCTAACTGCATGACCCTGGGCAAATGACTTAATTCCTCTGCACTTCTGATGCCACATCTGTAAAAAAAAAAAAAAAAAAAGGAGGGCGAGGGGGGATATCTTCATCACAGGGGAGCGGTGAGGATTAAGTGAGTTAATTTATGTAAAGTCCCTAGCACAACACCCCACTTCTTACATGACTTGGTAACCACTGGTTTTGTCCCCTCCCCCTTCCCCTGGGCCAGGCCAGGCTGGGTCACCGTGAGGGTGAAGAGATGGCAAAAGGCAAGCCCAAGGGATCAAGGGTCAAAATCAGGTAAACCCAGACTGGAGGCCCACTGAGGTCTATTCAAGACCAATGGGCACCCAAGAAAAGAGGTGGGAGCCAGGGGTGCACATGGCAGGAAAGTGAGGGGGTCACCAGGAGGCAGGAAGAGGCTGAGGGCTAGGCTGGCGGAGGGTCTGCTCAGGGCTCATGGCGCATCAGGACCCTCCCTCTAGGCCTGGCTGCTGGGCCCCTGGGGAACCCTGGGTCAGCAGAGCCACCCAGTGAGCAAGAGAACACAGGCATTCAACGAATTTATTCATGAGAAAACTCAGGGTCCATCAGGGAAACAATCCACTGGTTACAAGCTCCAGAAGCTCTTGTCAGAACAGCCCTGATGGCCGGGCACCCCCAGGCAGGAGCGGGCAGGCTGGCAGCTGCCCTGGGCACAGAGGAGCACACACAGGCAGCTCTGGGTACTGAGGGGTGTTCTACACTGCCCACCTGCCCTGCCCTGGGCCCCCACACCCCCTCTAGGGTTAAAGTGCAGCTGGGAGGGAGGTGGTGGGTGGAACTGGGCAGTAGGGACCGCCTCCACCCAACACGAAGGCAGCCCCCAAATACCACCCGCCCCTCCTCTTCCTACTTTCTCAAAGCTCAGCCAGAGTCCATCCCACTCAGGTCCCTCCTTGGAAACTTGGTCTACGAGCCTCCCCACCACCAGACATTTACAAAGAGCTCCCCAGGACGGTGAGGCTGGCTCCATTGGCTTTCTGAGGGACCTAGAACTTGGGGTGGAGGGGTGCAGCTGGAGGCACTAAGATCCTAAAGAGGGGGAGCGATGCTCCTCTTTGGTGGCGGTCTGGAGGGTCTCCCCTTCCTCACCTTGCTCCCCTCAGAAGCCGAGGAAGCTGCAGAAGCCGAGAAATCCTGGCTCCTGGACCATGAGTCAGCAGGGGCCCGCCCAGACCTGACTCCCGGCCGTGCCATCGTGGGAGGGCCACTGCAGTGCCACCCAGAAGAGGCTGAGCTGGGCATGGAGGCCTCTGGGGAAGCCTGAGCACCTCAGCTCCCGGCCTCTGCAGTGTTCTGCCTTCCCCGGACCCAGCCCCTCCCTCACGCCTGCTGCTGGCAAGGTGTCCTCCTCAGCTCCACCACTTGCACCCGGGGGCCCTGCCCACCGGGGGCTGCGTGAGCACTACCCTGGCTCCCGCCATCTTGGATGGCTGCACCCCCACCTCAGCAGCTTAGCCAACTTCCCCCCCTTCCCAAGGCACATCTCTAGGAGGCAGGAAGGCAGAGAACCCCCACCCTCCGAAAAAGAACCCTGAGGACCTCTGCATCCTCCCCACACTCTTGAATATATTAAATTGTGCAGCTTGGCTCCAACCCCTCCCTTCAGATCTCCATGGCAACTGGGAAACATTCCAAGTCCAGGTCTGAATCCAAGTCCATCCAGTGCCAAAGAGGGGTTTCAGCCTCTCCCCTGACCCTTCCCCTGGAGGGTTAAGACCCCACATTCCACAGGGGACGAGAGGGGAGGAAGAGTTGGGGGCTCAGTCCTCAGCCCCCTCTTCCTCCACGTGTGGGGCCCCAGGGGGATCCTCAGGCTCAGGGGTCTGCCCGCCAGGGTGAGGGTGAGGGTGGGGGTGGGGGTGCGCATGGGTGCCAGGCTGGGAGCCGGGTGCGTCCTCACCCTGCACATACACGCTCAGCCCCTCATGACTAGGCTCCTTGCCGCACGCCTGGCAACTGCAGTGCAGGATCTTCTCCACGAGCTTGTCTACCCTGGGCACCTCCTCATGGCCGGGGCACTCCAAGGTCACCTGGGGAGGGCAGGAGAGAAGGGGAAAGATGTTTCTAAAGGTCTAGGGCCAGCAGGGAGGCCCCAAAGCTAATACTCCTCGTGGGACCCAGAATCCAAGACCCCACAATCTCTGAGCCCACCTGTGACACCAGTTAGTTCTGTTAGTCCTGAGCCCCTGCAGGAGCCACCTGACTTACCGCCTCACATCTGTCCTGCCACCTCCCTATCCATTCCTCACAGCAACCAGAGAGCACCCCAAGAAAAAATGCAATGTGGCTTGCCATTGCTTAAAATTCCCCTCAGTGCTCCCCCACTGCACTAGGAAGAAAATCCTGACTCCTAAGGCCACCCAGGCCCTTTAGGCTGTCGCTGGCTGACCTCTCCGCCCCTGACCTTGCACCACCAGCCAACTCTGTATTGCCTGATCTGCCTGAGACTTTGGACACACGTTCCCTCTGCCTGAGGGTCCTTGCCCACCCCAACCCCCACCACCTCTGCCAAACCTGCCCGTTAACTCCTACCCAACCTCTGAATCTGATAGCAGTTCCTCAAATAGCCCCACCTAAACCCCAGCCCAGCTGAGCTTCACCTGCTCTTCCTCTCTACACTTCTAATTGCTCCTTCCTTCTTCCCTCTTTCCCTGCCTGCTTCCCTTCCTTCTGTCCACAGAGCACCTACTCTGTGCCAGCTCTGGGGACACAAGGGCAGGCATGGTCCCTCAAGGAATTCAGAGTCTAGTGGGGGAAAGAGTCTTGTCAAAATCACCCAAATGCAGAATGGAAAACTGGATGTGACAGATGCTCAAAGCAGAGGCACACAGTGCTCAGGGCACTGGGAAAAGGGTCCCGAGAAAATGATGCTTGAGCCAAGAGCAGAATGAATAGAAGTCAACCAGGTGAAGAGGAAGAGAAAAGGGTTCTAACCAGGGTAAAGAGCATGTGCAAAGGCCCGGTGGTGGCAGTGAGCAGGTATGACAGACTGGAAGGAGGCGAGCTGGTATCAGGTGTCAAGCCAGCGAAGAAGGTGAAGAGACAAGATAAAGCTACGAAGACTGGTAAGCCAGACCATGCCGGGCCTTGCGGAGCACTGCAGAGATGTTGGTCTCTTTAACAATGGGAAGCCACTGAAAGGATTTCCGCATATGAGTGACATCAGAATAGAGCTTCAGAAAGATTCTCTTGTCCTGTACATGTTAGTGTCAGAGTCATGAGCCATCACATGGCAAGGACCATGTGTGTACCCCCAGCACACTGTGTGTGTGCACATAGTGGGGCCTTACTAATGAGCACTTGTTGCCAAGGCCAGTGGCTGGGCAGGGTGGCGGCAGTACTCACAATCTCCCACATGGACTGTGCTGGCATGCAGGAGTCACAGTGCACCAGGGACTCTGTAGACTGCGGGAAAGTGTTGGGAACGCTGTAGCTGAAGCACTGTCCCAGGCACGCCCTGTGGGAGGAAAGGCCACCATGCCCACGTCACTGTGGTGGAGGCAGGGATGGGCAGCTGTCCTCTTCCTCCCTCCTGGGCCTCTGTCCTCACCCCTTCCACCCACCCGCTGGATCCCACCTGTTCTGGATGGACTTGGCCTCACAGCCGCTGTGGCCCACGATCTGGGTGATGTTCTTGGCCTCACACCAGGCGCTCTTGTCCGGGAACAATGCCAGCTTGCTGATGGGTGGTGGGGCAGCCAGCAGCACGGTGGGGAGGACAGCCCCAACCAGGACCCGAAGCATCGTGCCCGTGGCCTTTAGAGTCTAGAACTGAGCACAGACTATGGGTGAGGCCAGCGGGGTCCAGGAGGCTGGGCAGACGGGGACCATGTTACAAGCTTGGACTCTGCCACCTGACTGCCTGGGTGCAAATCCTAGCCACAGCACCTCCTCGCCATGCAAAATCCTGGGCAAATTCTCTCTCCTCAGGAACCTCAAAAATGGGGATGGTAATGACATGTGCATTAGTTGGTTATCACACAGATTAAATGAGGTTAGCCCATGAAAAGGCCTCAGCAGCGAGGCTGGCAGCTAATACACAGTCCATGCATTATTCTTACAATATGCTATGTAGCTTGGAGCACGTTACTTTTTATTTCTATGCCTCAGTTTCTTCATCTCAAAAATGAGGATGGTAATACTGATGGTAATGTGCATAGCAACGGATGGTAATGTGCAATACCAATGGTAATGTGCATGGCTGCAAGTAGAAATAAGACACTAAGTTTCCCAGCTCGAGTTGAGTGTGAACAATCATTAGCTCCCTCCTCACTTTGATGGTGTAGGTTCTCTAGGAAAACACAAAGTCACCCACACACTGCTTGCCTTCAAGAGCCTGGCCATCCAGCACATCTCCTAGACATGCTGCGACAGCTATCAGCCTTCTGACACCAGAAAAGCTAACCTCCATCCTCATGTCTATGAATTCTTGTGCCACCTTGGCCAGCGGGACCTCAGGTGAAAAACTTCCGAACTAGACTGTCTTTCTTTTTTTGGATGCTCCACCAGAGCCTAGAGCTACGAGTCTACACACATCATTATTCCCACCTCCATCCTGACCCCTGAGTCAGGCAGGGACATCATGCCAAGCGCCTGACCCCCATAAGTTGGACGGAGCAAGACACCAAAACAATACCCGAACAGGCCAGAAGATGGCGCTGCGGGGCAGAGTGTGTGTCTGAAGGGTTCTGCTCAGAGGGGACTCTCTCAATGTTCCCCAACTTCATCTTCTGTAGGTTTCGCCCACTCTTCCACCTTAGAAGGGTAGAGGAGGGAGATTCTGGAGAGATTGAAAATGAGAACAATGCCTGCAACGGGCTCCTTTGGGGACAGGACCCTGGGGAAAGGACACTGGACTGGGAGTCATGAGTCCACACCTGTTGTGTGACCCTGGATGCTCAGGCCTCAGTTTCGCCCCCTGTAAAATGAGGGAGGTGCCTTGGACCACTGGTTTCCAAACCATACCAAGTACAGGGTCGTGAAAGGAGGTGTTAGGGGCAGCGGGTTCTTGCCTACTCCTGCAGTGGACTGGTTCAGCTGGGCTTGTGGGGAGGGCCGGGCCAGCATGCAGGGCTGTGACCACTTCCACAGAGCTCCACTCTCTCCATCTGGCAAATTCCACTCACCTCCTGCCCCTTCTCCCTGTAGGAGGTCTCCGGAAGCAGAGACAAGTCCCATCACACCAGATCCCAATGCCTGGGTGACCCCTGCTCCCAGCCCAGTCGGGGAGGGCTGGAGTGGGGAGGGCAGGAGGAGGTGCATCCAGACAGGCTGCCCCATTCCAAATGAGTTGTGTCATAACCCAGGCTCTTACCCACACGTTACCCATCTCACAAGGTCGACAGCAAAGCCCATGTTTTCAGTACAACCACAGCCTCATACAACAGAATGGACTTGGTCCTAACTGGCAACTTAACTAAGTTAAGCTTAGCATTCAGAAGGCTTCCTCACCCTACCTGGTCCCCCTCCATTCCTAGGAATTAGCCTCTGGGCCAGGGTCTGAACACCACACAGCAGAAGAGGCCGCACAGGCCTTGCCCAAGGCTGGAGCTCCCTGGGCCTCCCCAGGCTGGACTGGCCCCTAGGCACCTCAGAGAGGCCCAGGGACTTCTGTCCAGTACCTGACCCAGCACGACTCCTCGGGAAGATCAGGTCAGGTGGGGCAAGGGAGGCGAATGGAGCAGCGAGCGCTGTCTGGCTTCCTTAGGACTGGAAGGAGCCTGGGGCTGAGGCTGAGTCTGCTCTGGAGCTGGAACCAGAGGTGCTGGAACTGAGGCTGTGGGCTAGGACCAGGTTCAAGGGGAGCTGAGACTGGTGCTGAGGTCAGTAACAAGATCTTGGGACGTGTGTGACAGTGAGCTTTCAGGGAGTCGCTGGCCTGGAGGATGGAGTTTGGTTAGTAGGGCTGGTTGTGGCATAAACTGAGTTAAAGTGAGATCAAGCGAGGCAGGCCACCCCCTCACCTTTTCTCGCCTCTCTCGCACAGAGCCAAGTTAACCCAGCGTCACTATAACCCTACCCACCAGGCCCTAGAAAGGCCCTCAAGACGGGGGCTGGGGCCACACTCCGCTCTCCAGGCCAGCAACCCAGAGCTCCAGAAGACCGCCGGACTCCCACCAGAACACGGCCCCTGGAGCCCCTGCCCTCTCACCTAATTGCTGTGTGACTTCCGGAAACAAAATTCACCCTTCTGCACCTACCTACCTCACCCCTAAGACAGGGTGCACAGCACTTTCCTTGGAGAACGGCTGGGAGGAGGCAATGAAAACACCCAGCAGGCACCCAGATCAGGCCAGCCCCCTTCCCCAGGGGATCAGGAGAGGCTGGGCAGGCACCAGAGCCAAAGTGGGGCGCCGGAGCTGGGGGATGCCCCCGAGTTCTTCCCACAGATGGTTGCTACCAGGACACACCCCACACCCCAGCCTCACCCACACACCCAACTCCCAAGAACTCCTGCTGATGGCCCCCACCTTTGCACGGGGGTGGGCTTTTTGCTAGCAAATTTTATTTTTTCTTGGTTTATGCATTTCTGTTTTTCAACTAGCAACTCAGCTAATGTTTTTTATATACAGCAGTCAGACCTTCCTTCCTGAGACTTGAGAGCCTTACCCAGTTTCGTCCCTTCTTCCTGGCTCTGAAGGTCAGTCATGGGACTTACAGAATGCCAGGGGAATTCTCCCAGAACTCAGGATGGGGTCCCCCAGGCCAGTCCCCCTTGCCTTGCAAAGAGTTGTCTCAAAGGCTCCCCAGCAAGTCAGGCCAAGCAATGCCCTTCCCGGGGTCATGCAGCTTCCTGGTCAAACCTCCCTAGTTTCCTGAGCAACGTCTAGGAGGGCGGAGACAAGGCAAGGACAAGGCAGGGGAGGTGGGGCCCCAGGCCCTACCCCTGCTCCGGGGCTCAGAGCCTAGAGGGGAAGATCTCGGGAGGTGGGTTAAGAGGAAGCAGTTCTCTGGAGCGAGGGGAGTTAGAGGCGGCTGGAGTGTTGGGCGGGGGCAGAGAGCTTCATTCTGGATTTAGCTCAGGAGTACAACTAGTTACCAATGGAGGAGACAGGAGGGCACTCCTGGTTGAGGGGACTGCGGGAGGAAAGGCAGACAGGGCCTGATGGTATCACCTGGCACCCTCTCCAGCCTCACCAAAGGTGGACAGCTGGTTCTGCCTGTGGACTAGGCACTGTTACACTGCTTGCCTTCAAGAGCCTGGCCATCCAGCACATCTCCTAGACATGCTGCGACAGCTATCAGCCTTCTGACACCAGAAAAGCTAACCTCCATCCTCATGTCTATGAATTCTTGTGCCACCTTGGCCAGCGGGACCTCAGGTGAAAAACTTCCGAACTAGACTGTCTTTCTTTTTTTTGGATGCTCCACCAGAGCCTAGAGCTACGAGTCTACACACATCATTATTCCCACCTCCATCCTGACCCCTGAGTCAGGCAGGGACATCATGCCAAGCGCCTGACCCCCATAAGTTGGACGGAGCAAGACACCAAAACAATACCCGAACAGGCCAGAAGATGGCGCTGCGGGGCAGAGTGTGTGTCTGAAGGGTTCTGCTCAGAGGGGACTCTCTCAATGTTCCCCAACTTCATCTTCTGTAGGTTTCGCCCACTCTTCCACCTTAGAAGGGTAGAGGAGGGAGATTCTGGAGAGATTGAAAATGAGAACAATGCCTGCAACGGGCTCCTTTGGGGACAGGACCCTGGGGAAAGGACACTGGACTGGGAGTCATGAGTCCACACCTGTTGTGTGACCCTGGATGCTCAGGCCTCAGTTTCGCCCCCTGTAAAATGAGGGAGGTGCCTTGGACCACTGGTTTCCAAACCATACCAAGTACAGGGTCGTGAAAGGAGGTGTTAGGGGCAGCGGGTTCTTGCCTACTCCTGCAGTGGACTGGTTCAGCTGGGCTTGTGGGGAGGGCCGGGCCAGCATGCAGGGCTGTGACCACTTCCACAGAGCTCCACTCTCTCCATCTGGCAAATTCCACTCACCTCCTGCCCCTTCTCCCTGTAGGAGGTCTCCGGAAGCAGAGACAAGTCCCATCACACCAGATCCCAATGCCTGGGTGACCCCTGCTCCCAGCCCAGTCGGGGAGGGCTGGAGTGGGGAGGGCAGGAGGAGGTGCATCCAGACAGGCTGCCCCATTCCAAATGAGTTGTGTCATAACCCAGGCTCTTACCCACACGTTACCCATCTCACAAGGTCGACAGCAAAGCCCATGTTTTCAGTACAACCACAGCCTCATACAACAGAATGGACTTGGTCCTAACTGGCAACTTAACTAAGTTAAGCTTAGCATTCAGAAGGCTTCCTCACCCTACCTGGTCCCCCTCCATTCCTAGGAATTAGCCTCTGGGCCAGGGTCTGAACACCACACAGCAGAAGAGGCCGCACAGGCCTTGCCCAAGGCTGGAGCTCCCTGGGCCTCCCCAGGCTGGACTGGCCCCTAGGCACCTCAGAGAGGCCCAGGGACTTCTGTCCAGTACCTGACCCAGCACGACTCCTCGGGAAGATCAGGTCAGGTGGGGCAAGGGAGGCGAATGGAGCAGCGAGCGCTGTCTGGCTTCCTTAGGACTGGAAGGAGCCTGGGGCTGAGGCTGAGTCTGCTCTGGAGCTGGAACCAGAGGTGCTGGAACTGAGGCTGTGGGCTAGGACCAGGTTCAAGGGGAGCTGAGACTGGTGCTGAGGTCAGTAACAAGATCTTGGGACGTGTGTGACAGTGAGCTTTCAGGGAGTCGCTGGCCTGGAGGATGGAGTTTGGTTAGTAGGGC